AAAGTGGAAGGCAAAAGGAAGAGGGGCCGACCAAGGGCAAGATGGATGGATGGCATCCTTGAAGGGACTGGACTGACCTTGAGGGAGCTGGGGGTGGTAACGGCCGACAGGGAGCTCTGGCGTAGGCTGGTCCATGAGGTCACGAAGAGTCGGAGACGACTGAACGAATGAACAACAACAACAATTTCCCAAAATCACTTTCTTGAAGTCAACCATTCTTCTATGACGTAGGCCTCCATCGAAATGAATGGAAAGCCACCAAAACATCCCAGTGGATCAATATTCCCATTCACTACAGTGAGAGGCCTGGATCCTGTTGGTGAACCCCAATCTGAGATCCCATGCACTGAGCTTGGAGTCCAAACAGAGAGAAATCCCAGGGATTCAATTGATCTCCTCTAGTCTTTAGGGTTCATGACACTGAAATTGCACAATGACTTCTGATGATATTTGAATTATTATTATTATTATTATTATTATTATTATTATTCCACTTTCTCTCTCCATAAGGAGACTCAATGGAGGGGCTTGACTCCATCTCCCAAGCTTATTGATTGCTTTTATTTATATCCTGCTTTTTCCCATATAGGGACTCCTTTTGTTTTCCATGCACTTTATCTTGTTTGGGTATCAGCCAGCACGTCAACGACTCAAATCAAGAAATAGTTTTCTTAGATCTACAGAGACACTCACTGGAACACCTCAGCAAGCGAGAGTTCAAAAGTGGCAGGCTCAAACCTAGCACCTCAATCCGTGGGTGATACCAGATGAGAGACTCCCCGCTGGGCACACAGAAGACTGGGTGACTTGGAAGGCGCTGAACAGACTGCGCTCTGGCACCACGAGATGCAGAGCCAATCTTAAGAAACGGGGCTACAGGGTGGAATCCATGATATGCGAGTGTGGAGAAGAGCAAACCACAGACCACCTGCTGCAATGCAACCTGAGCCCTGCCACATGCACATTGGAGGACCTTCTTGCGGCAACATCAGAGGCACTCCAGGTGGCCAGATACTGGTCAAAGGACATTTAATCAACTACCAAGCTTGCAAAATTTGTATGTTTTTTATATCTGTTTGTTTTGTTCTGTTAGAAATGTAATACAATATTCTGGTTGCGGATGACACGATAAATAAATAAAATAAAATCTTGGCCTGTTTTGGGAAACTGCTCACATGGTGAATGGATGGATCCCATTTGGTGGAAGCCAGCTCGCCTGGAGGATGAGGAGGATGAGGAAGGCTTTCCTTTGGCCTTCAAGGGGCCTGGGATTGTAATTCTGCACCAAGACAAAGACATCAGGAACGATGGGAGAGGCAGTGGAGGGGGGAGGAGGGGGAGACAGAGCATCCTTCCCCCTCCTCCATATCTCTCTCTCTCTCTCTCTCTCTCTCTCTCTCTCTCTCTCTCATATCCTCCTCCTCCTCAGACACGTGTCCCTATTGTTCTGCCTTTGGCTGGACACAAGGGAAGGGGAGGAAAGAGTTAACCAGCCCTCCCCCTCCCCATTATGCCTATAGGAGAAAGGGGAATGTCAAAGCAGCAGCCCTGCACCCAGTGAGGGGGGGGGGGGGGAGGAAAGAGGCTGGAAGAGGAATTCCCCCCATAGCAGAGAGGAAGGAAGGAATGTCTATAGTGGGGAAAGGTTGGGGAGAAGGAAGGAAGGAGGGCTGGGGTCTTTCCAAATTGCTGGCAGAGAAAGGGAGAGAGGCACAGTTCCCCTTTGCCTTCTTCGCCCTTCCATCCGCTTGCATACATTTGATGTTTCAGGATGTAAAAGAATGAAGGAAGGAGTGATAGAATATCAGAATAGAAATGCAGGAGGGGAGGAAGGGGGGTCGGTTAGTTGGTTAGAAAGATGAATAATTAGGTAGGTAGATAGGATAGAAAGATAGAAAGGGAGGGAAGGGGGAAGGAACCGGATAGATGGATAGATAGACAGCCTAGAAAGATAGGAAGGGTAGAAAAGGAGGAAGGTTAGAAAGATTGAAAGGAAGAAAGTAAGGAAAGATAAAAGGATAAAAAAGGAGGATAGAAAGGGAGGAAGATTAGAAAGGAGAAGGAAGGAAGGAAGGAAGGATAGATAGGAATGATAGGAATGATAGGAAGGGAAGAAGGCTAGAGAGACGGAAGGAAGGAAGGAAGGAAGGAAGGAAGGAAGGAAGGAAGGAAGGAAGGAAGGAAGGAAGGAAGGAAGGATAGACAAGTTAGAAAGATAGGAAGGAAGGATAGATAGATAGATAAATAGATAGGAAGGATAGAAAGGGGGAAGGTTAGATAGAAGAAGGAAGGAAGGAAGGAAAAAGGATAGATAAAGCTAGAAAGATAGGAAGGAAGAATAGAGATAGATAGATAGGAAGAATAGAAAGGGAGGAAGGTTAGATAGAGGAAGGAAGGAAGGAAGGAAGGAAGGAAGGAAGGAAGGAAGGAAGGAAGGAAGGAAGGAAGGAGAGAGAGAAAAGGAAGGAAGAAGAGAAAAGAAAGGAAGGAAGAAAGGGAGGAAGGAAAAAGAGGAAGGGAGGGAGGAAAGACAGGCTAGAAAGATAGGAAGGATAGATAGAAAGGATACAAAGGGAGAAAGGGTAGAAAGACTGGAAGGAAGGAAAGTTTGTTGTTGCCTGCCTCTTGACCTTTGGAAACCCTATCCTGGGGTTTTCTTGGCAAGGTTTGTTCAGAAGGCCAAGTTTGCCTTTGTCTTCCCCTGAGGCTGAGAGAATGTGACTTGCCCGAGAGAAAGCAAAACGAAAGATGCAGTAGGGAAACGAGGGAGAAAGGAAGAGAAACAGAGAAAGCGCCTGATAGAGAAAGGAGGCAGAGAAAGATGCGCACACAAAGAGAGAGAGATGGGGGAAGGAAGGAGACGGAGAAGGAAAGAAAGAAGAAAGAAAGAAAGAAAGAAAGAAAGAAAGAAAGAAAGAAAGAAAGAAACTGAGAGCGAGGAAAGAGAGAGGGAAGGAAGAGGAAAGAATGGATGAGAGAAAGAAAGAGACTGAGAGCAAGGAAAGAGAGAGGGAAAGAAGAGGAAAGAATGGATGAAGAAAGAAAGAAAGAAAGAAAGAAAGAAAGAAAGAAAGAAAGAAAGAGACTGAGAGCAGGAGAGAGAGGGAAGGAAGAGGAAAGAATGGAAGAAAGAAGGAGGAAGAAAGGAGGAAGGAAGAAGAAGGAAAAAAGAGAGAGAGAAAGAGAGAAGGAAAGGAAGAGGAAGAAGGATGAAGAAAGAAGAGATGGAAGGAAGAGGAAAGAATGGATGAGAGAAAGGAAGGAAGGAAGAAAGGAAGGAAGGAAGGAAGGAAGGAAGAAATAGACTGAGAGCGAGGAAAGAGAGAGGGAAGGAAGAGGAAAGAATGGATGAGAGAAAGAAAGAGACTGAGAGCAAGGAAAGAGAGAGGGAAAGAAGAGGAAAGAATGGATGAGAGAAAGGAAGGAAGGAAGGAAGGAAGAAATAGACTGAGAGCGAGGAAAGAGAGAGGGAAGGAAGAGGAAAGAATGGATGAGAGAAAGAAAGAGACTGAGAGCAAGGAAAGAGAGAGGGAAAGAAGAGGAAAGAATGGATGAGAGAAAGGAAGGAAGGAAGGAAGGAAGAAATAGACTGAGAGCGAGGAAAGAGAGAGGGAAGGAAGAGGAAAGAATGGATGAGAGAAAGAAAGAGACTGAGAGCAAGGAAAGAGAGAGGGAAAGAAGAGGAAAGAATGGATGAGAGAAAGGAAGGAAGGAAGGAAGGAAGGAAGGAAGGAGAAGGAAGGAAGGAAGAAATAGACTGAGAGCGAGGAAAGAGAGAGGGAAGGAAGAGGAAAGAATGGATGAGAGAAAGAAAGAAAGAAAGAAGGAAATAAAAGTACAATCAATCAGACAAGGGGAGGAAAGCGATCGATCAAGGAGGAAACAGCCTGGGAAGAAAGAAAGTAAACGAAAGAAAGAAAGATGGATAAAGAAAGAAAGAAAGAAAGAAAGATGGATAAATGCGACGGAGAGGAAGAGAGGACAACCGGAAAGAGAGAGGATGAACAGGGAACTTCCACCTTCTTTGTGCAACAAATGAGAGAGAATTAAGGCAGCGGAGGAGAGAGAAAGAGAGGGGGGGGGGGTTATCCCGGGTCACCTCTCTTGGTTTTTTGCCCCGACTTTCCTTTTTCGGGGCCGAAATCGTGTTAAACCCGGTGGGGATGTTGTGGGAGAGCCTTTTTTAAATTCATAAACAGAGAACTTCCACCTTCTTTGTGCAACAAATGAGGGAGAATGAAGGCAGCAGAGGAGAGAGAGAGAGAGAGAGGTTTATCCCGGGTCACCTCCCTTGGTTTTTTGCCCCGACTTTCCTTCTCTGGGGCCTGAACCGGGTCAAACCCTGTGGGGAGGTTGTGGGGGGGCCTTTTGTGCTATGGACCTTCTTTGTGCAAGAAATGAGGGAGAATGAAGGCAGCGGAGGAGAGAGAGCGAGAGAGAGAGAGAGAGAGAGAGAGAGAGAGAGGTTTATCCCGGGTCACCTTCCCTGCTTTTTTGCCCCGACTTTCCTTATTCGGGGTTGAAATCGTGTTAAACCAGGTGGGGATGTTGTGGGAGAGCCTTTTTTGCTAGGGGGGGGGTCCCACTTTGCAAGGGGGGCGCACTGAACCGGGTCAAACCATAAAGAGAGGTTTTGGGAGGGCCTTTTTTGCTCTGGGGGGGATCTACATTGCAAAGGGGGCGCCTTGTTAACAGACAGGGCAAAGGGGGAGACCCTTCCTCTTCCTCCAACCCCCCTGAATCCCTTCCTCTCCCCTCTCCTGCTCCCCCTGCCCCCTTCTCCCCCCATTTCTCCCCCTCCCCCCCCTTCCACGCCTCCCTTTGATGGATCCCAGCGCTGCTGAGCCTCCCCCATCTCTCTCCCCATAGAAAGGCATCCAAGGGGAGGGGTGCAGGTGAGTCACCTCAGCGATTCCTGGAGGGAGGGAGGGAGGGAGGGAGGGGAGCCCCTCCTGGCCCCGCCCCTTGCTCCTCCCCCTGCCCGCCCCCTCTCCCCTCCCCTCCCGGAGCCACTCCACGGCGGCGGAGCTCTCCAAAGTGCTGAAACCTCGGGTCCGCCAAGATGCCGCGCTCCTTCCTGGTCAAGAAGACCAAAGCCGACGCCTTCCAAGGCGGAGCGGGCCAAGGAGAGGAGGAGGAGGAGGAGGAGGAAGAGGAGGAGGAAGAGGAGGAGGAGGATGGAGGAGGAGAGACCCCCGTCTACCACCCCTTGGAAACTTCCTTCCCGGAGCTGCCCGCCGGAGCCAGGCTGGGGGGCGCCGAGCCTGGAGAGATGGGTAGGCGGGCGCGGAAGGGAGGGTGGGCAGGTCTCGCGTGGGAGTGGGAGTGGAGGGCGAAGAGGGAGGAAGGGGCTCTCTCGGACCCCAACGCTTCCGTATTGTGGAGGAAGGGACTCGCTCGGAACCCAACTGGAAGGGGGAGGGGAGAATCCCGCGTGGATGCCTTTTAGGAGACCATTATGAGAGAGATCCACAGAACTGACAGCTTCTTCCTTTGGCGTGTGGAGGGTGAAGATAGGGGGAGGAAGGGACTCGCTCGGAACCCAACTGGGAGGGGGAGGGGAGAATCCCGCGTGGATCTGGCCATGGCTGCCTTGTGGAAGACCATTATAAGAGAGATCCACAGAACTGACAGCTTCATCCTCTGGCGTCCGGAAGAAAGGGGGTTGTTTGGATCCCGAGTGTGTTTATGGAAGTGGGGAAGGTGGGGGGGGGGGACATCCGTGAAGGAGTAGCCGGTGGGACAATGTGTGAATAAAAGGGAGAATATTAAAGGACGATCTGCACAGATTCTTTAGGGGTTGAGTGGGATCTCAACTGTGTTTTCGCGTGGACGTGGAATGAAGGGGTCACTCGTGGGGGTGATGTCGCACAAAATGGGCATCTGAGAGAAAGGACGATCCGCACACATTCTTTTGGGGTTGACTGGGATCTCAGCTGTGTCTTCGCGTGGACGTGGAATGAAGGGGTCACTCGTGGGGTGATGTCGCACAAAATGGGCATCTGGGAGAAAGGATGATCTGACTGCACAGATTCTTTTGGGGTTGACTGGGACCTCAACTGTGTCTTCGCGTGGACTTGGAATGAAGGGGTCACTCGTGGGAGTGATGTCGCACAAAATGGGCATCTGGGAGAAAAGAGGTTCCCTTCAAACCCTATTTTATTATTGGTAGGTTCGTATTGTGCCCAGGGGAGATGGAATCCCGCGTGGACGTGGACGTGGGGGAGGGAGACCCGCGAAGGACTGTCTCGTGTGACGATGTGTGCATAAAAAAAGGAGAACATTAAAGGATGATCCGCACCGAACCGGCAGTTTGATCCTTTTGGGGTTCATTGGGACCTCAGCTGTGTTCTCGCGTGGACGTGGGGACGAAGGGCTTGTTCGTGGGGTGATCTGTGAATAAGCGGTTTCGCACAAAAAGGGCATCTGGAAGAAAAGAGGTTCACTTCAAACCCTATTTTATTATTGGGGGGATTCGTATTGTGCCCACGGGAGACGGAATCTCGCGTGGACGTGACAATGGGGGAGGGAGAGCCGTGAAGGACTGTCTCGTCTGTGAAAAAAGAGGAAGGAAATCAAGGGACGACCCGCACAGAATCCCCAGCTTGTGCCTTTGGGGAAGAAAGGGGTTTCCACTTGCCTTCGTGCTGTATTGTCCGTGGGTTGTGTTGGCTTCGGGTTGTGTCCTTTGGAGAGAGAGTTCCCAGAAAAGGAAAAAGTGAATCTGATCATAATAAGGAGCAAGTACCCACTTGCTTTCGTGGGTGAGAAAAGGATCATACTATGGTGAAAGTGTAGTTCCCACTTTCATTCTTTACAGAGTGGGGGAATCATAGTGTTTCTGAATCAATCGGATTAAGAAAGGCGAGCTAATTAATCCCCCCCCCTTTTGCCCTTCCTTGATGAGTGGCATCCTTTCTCAAGGCAAGGAAAGGCAAAGAGGGAGAGTGGGGGGTGTCCTTGCTTTGGAGGTCCCTGCTCTGCACCCCCCCCCCTCCAAAATCATTGTCTGTGGGGCGGCCCCCAAAGTGGGCAATCCTTCTCTCTATCTCTGCATAGAAATTGACCTTCCCAAGGTCTACTGCTTTGGGAACAACGTGTGAAATGCTTCCCCCCCCCCCACCTCTCCATTTTCCTGGATGGGAGAGGGAGAGGGAAGGTCCTAGTGACCCTCACAAAGAGGGCCGGAGGGGGAGGGGGCCTCAGCCTTTGAGCCAGGAAGGGCAACAAAGAGTCTCTGGGAACAAGCGACCACAGCCAAACCCAGACCTCCCAACCTCTGAGGATGCTTGCCACAGATGCAGGCGAAACGTCAGGAGAGAATGCTTCTAGAACAGTGTTTCTCAACCTGGGGGGTCGTGAGGGGGTGTCAGAGGGGTCACCAAAGACCATCAGAAAACACAGTATATTCTTTTGGTCATGGGGGTTCTGTGTGGGAAGTTTGGCAGAATTGTATCATTGGTGAGCTTCAGAATGCTCTTTGATTACAGGTGAACTATAAATGCCAGCAACTACAACTCCCAAACGTCAAGGTCTGTTTTCCCCAAACTCCACCAGTGTTCACATTTGGGCATATGGAGTATTCATGCCAAGTTTGGTCCAGATACATCATTGTTTGGGTTAACAGTGCTCTCTAGACAGTGTTTCTCAACCTGGGGGTCGGGACCCCTGAGGGGGAAGGGGGGTGTCAGAGGGGTCGCCAAAGACCATCAGAAACACAGTATTTTCTGTTGGTCATGGGAGGTTCTGTGTGGGAAGTTTGGCCCAATTCTATCATTGGTGGGGTTCAGAACGCTCCTTGATTGTAGGTGAACTATAAATCCCAGTATCTACAACTCCCAAATGTCAAAGTCTATTTTCCCCAAACCCCATCAGTGTTCACATTTGGGCATATTGAGTATCCGTGCCAAGTTTGGTCCAGATCCATCATTGTTTGAACCCACAGTGCTCTCTGGATGTAGGCGAACTACAACTCCCAAACTCAAGGTCAATGCCCACCAAACCCAGTATTTTCTGTATTGTCGAAGGCTTTCATGGCTGGAATCACTAGGTTCTTGTGGGTTTTTCCTGACTATAGTGCCATGTTCTAGAGGCATTTCTCCTGACATTTTGCCTGCATCTATGGCAAGCATCCTCATTACCTCTGAGGATGCTTGCCATAGATGCAGGCGAAACGTCAGGAGAAAATGCCTCTAGAACATGGCCATATAGCCCGAAAAACCCACAAGAACCTAGTAATTTTTGGTCACGAGAGTTGGTCTGTTGGTCACGAGAGTTATATGTGCCAAGTCCGGTTCAATTGCATTGTTGGTGGAGTTCAGAACGCTCTTTGAATTTAAATGAACCATAAATCCCATCAACTACAACTCCCAATCCCCCCCACAACCCCACCAGTATTCAAATTTGGGCGTATCAGGTATTTGTGCCAAATTTGGTCCAGTGAATGAAAACACATCCTACATATTAGATATTTACATTATGATTCATACCATTAGCAAAATTGCAGTTATGAAGTCGCAACCAAAATAATGTTGTGGTTGGGGGTCACCACAACATGAGGAACTGCATTAAGGGGTCACAGCATTAAGGGGTCACAGCATTAAGAAGGTTGAGAACCACTGTTCTAGAACATGCCCATATAGCCCGAAAAACCTACAACAACCCAGAAACCCAGCATTGCTTCCTCCCTTACCCAGGTCCTTTTGCTTTGGGGCCAACTTGCAGCTCTTTTGAGGGCAAATGGACCCTTTCCAATCACCCACCCTCCTTGCAAAGCTTCCTCAGTGGAGGAAGCTTTGCAAGGAAGGAAAGGGGGGCATCCGACTCACAAGGAAGCCAACTAGGGAGTGCAATGAGTGCCTGGGGAGTGCAAGCACACTGGAGAAGGGATGCAGTTTGGCTCAAGGTTATGCAATCCAAGGAATTGCAGTTTTACAAGGGCGTTAGCCTTCTCCAGGTACTTCATTACACTAGAGGATGAGTCCATTTAAAATCCAATTTCTGCCTCCTGCAGAATTCTGGAGTTTGTAGTTTAGTGAGGCTGTTAAGGGCTCCTCCTTAAACTACAAAGCTCAGGATTCTGCAGGAGGAAGCAACCGGATTTAAAGAGGATTCATTCTCTAGTGTGATAAGGTCTGTAACCCCCAGGATTGCTTTTTCACAATCTAGGATGTCAAATTGCAGTAATTCTATAGTCTAGATCAGGCATGGACCAACTTGGGCCCTTCAGATGTTTTGGACTTCAACTCCCACAATTCCTAACAGCCTCAGGCCCTTTCCTTTCCCCCCTCATGTTACATTAAGTTGACTTTGTCTTGATGTGTCTTAATTTACTTTTATGGTATGTTATAGTATGGGGTATAGTATTAGTTATAGTATGATGAATATAAGCCAGGCCTGTTTTTAATAGCAACTCTCAAGCAACCAGAAACTGCATTTATACGATACGTACACATCCCCACGGAGGCCTGTTAACTGAGAGCTTATCGTAATATGTGCCATGAATGTCTTTGGAAGACTCAACCCTGTCCTAGGTTGCATCTACACTGCAGTATTAATGCAATGTATTGTCGAAGGCTTTCATGGCCAGAATCACTGGGTTGTTGTAGGTTTTTTCGGGCTATATGGCCATGTTCTAGAGAACTCACTACCTCTGAGGATGCTTGCCATAGATGCAGGCGAAATGTCAGGAGAGAATGCCTCTAGAACATGGCCATATAGCCCCCAAAAAACCTACAACAACCCAGTATTAATGTAGTTTGACACCACTTTAATCACTATGCCTCAATGATATGGAGTCAGGGTAGCTTGACAAGGTCATAATAACCGCTTTGAGTCTCCTTGTGGAGAGAAAAAAACACATTATTATTATTATTATTATTATTATTATTATTATTATTATTATTATTATTGGGATATAAAGATTGAACTGCAAAGACTCAGGCACAAGCCAGTCAAGGTGGTGCCAGTGGTGAATGGCACACTGGGTGCAGTGCCGAAAGACCTTGGCCTGCACTTAAAAATAATCAGCACTGACAAAATCATTCTCTGTCAACTTCAAAAGGCCTCTGTACTCAGATCTGCACACATTCTTCACTGATACATCACACAGTCCTAGACACTTGGGAAATGTCCAACGTGTGATCAAATACAACAGCCAGCAGAGTGATCTTGTTTGCTGTGCCCTAATCTTGTTACATATCTAATAATAATAATAATAATAATAATAATAATAATAATAATAATAGGGGTTTAAAGATCAAACTGCAAATAGTCA